CCCACAGTGACCTCAGGGAAATGAGGACACCTTGTGGAACTCAGTGTAGATAACAGCTTGGGAGGCTGGATCACAGCGTGGCTTGTCTGTGGGACAGGGTGGAGGCGTGCTGGATCTAAGGGCCACTGGGTGTGTAGCTGGTTTATTAGGCTCCGTATGTATTGACTAAGCTGTGGTGCTTCAGACCAATGCAATCAGAGCTGTATGCCTGGTCCCAGAGTGAGGGGAAACTATGGCTGTGGTTTACTGGAAAGGTTCTGGCGTCTTTCTCCGTCAATAGCTATGTGGCGTCTGCCTGATTCTGCCTTCTTTCTCCTCTATCTCTGCTTGGATTTCCCACCTTGCTATATTCTGCTCTGCCATAGGCTACAGCAGCTTCTTTATTAACCAATGGTAATAGAACATATTCACAGCATACTGAGGGGAATGCCGCACCAGCGGCCCCCAAATCACCACTGTTTGTGCTATCCCCTCTCTAACCTGGTCTCTGGCTCTCTTCCTCTCCCCGTCCTGCCATCCACTCCCTCTTCTCCGCCCTCCAGTCACTTCCGGTTACAGCCAAGCTCTGTCTGCCCCTTCCAGGCTCCACTGAGTGTTCCTCCCTCTGGGAGTCCTCTTCCGCTTCCTCATTCGTGTCTCATTCCCGTCACTACCCTCAATTATGTCTTTAAATGTCCCCTTTGTGCAGCTGACTCAGACAGTTGAATCTACAACCCCTTGTGCCCGTAGTGATTGTTCACCTTGTTCCATCTGGGCTTGCTCACGGCATATGCCACACTCGTAATTATATATAATTAAGTAATCAGGAGAGAGGAGCACCTAATAGACAGAGCAGGGATGGTTGATACAATGAATACTAAACAATACAGTGTAAGGAGAGCTAAGACACTGAAGGTTGCAGAAAATCAGTGTGGAAGGTGTCATATATGGGGAACCCCAGTAAGTTGGCAATTCTGGTTCTGTTTGTAGACTTACTGGATCCTGACACAGAGACAGTTACACCATCCCCACCTAGGGTCTTTCTCTTCCTGTAAATCTATATATTTTTTATTCTCCTACTAATTCTGAATCTATATTTGGAACTGAAGAGACAAAACTAAAGCAATTTTAAACCCATGCCCCGTCTTTGTGAGAGTCTAACTTAGCAGGTACCCCACCCCAGGTGCCCCACCCCATGTACCTGTGAATTCAGAGAAAAGCCACAACCAGCCTAAAAACTGCCTGGCTACCCAGAGATTTGAGGACAGCCCATCAGAAACTAGACAAACAAGTTATTTATTTATTTATTTTTACAGTTACTGGGTGGTTTTGTGGAAAGTTACAAAAGTCCCTTCTTGACTTAGAGCCAACTATCCCCCTATTCCATCCAGTAACGCCAAGGCACGTAACTCCCTGTCTGCAATTTTTCCCTTTAAAGACCCCCTGCACTGTGAGCTCGGGGACTTTCTCCTTCACCCGCTACATTGGTGCGTGAGCAAGGCCCCCGCTTGCAAGCCTGTGCAATAAAGAAACCTCGTGTAATTGCATCAGAAGTCGGTTCCGCGGTGGTCTTGCTGGGACGGGGGTGTCTCACGACTCAGGCACAACAGAACCTTCTGCACTGCATTACACGTACACAGGGAGAGTGGACATCCTCTCTTGTCCTTGACGCTGTATAAAGGGCCGTATTGCACAGCAGGAGTGGCCCAAGTTGCAGATCTTTTGTAGAAGCTCTTCTTCAATGTAAGGGTGAGACTCTTCTTCCACACAGTTCTTACTTAGAATCTTGTCAAATGACCTTTCAGCACTGACTGATTGACACAGCACAGAATTTTCTACTTCAATTGTTTAAATAGTTGATTTCTTTTAAAAGACAGAATTTAATGTAGCCGAGGCTAGCCTAAAATTTAGTATGAAATTGAGACCGGCTTTGAGCTCCTAACCTTCCTGCCCCTGCCTCCCAAGTGTGGGGACTGTCCACTACCACACCAGGCAGCTTTTGTCCAACTAGGAACTGCCCTAATTAGCTGTAGTAACTCATGACACCTGGGCTTCACCAGAGTGTCCTTCTGGAAACAAAGAGGGACACAGGCACTGAAAGTAAAAGTGAGATCTATGATCGCTGTGACAGGCACTGTCTTCAAAAAACTGCAAGATGACCAAGTTGGTTGGCCACTGGCACTTAACCACAGCCCATCTCCTGACTGACCGCTTATGCTTCAAACTGAGTGTATTCTATAGGCTAACATTCAGAGTTATGGAAACGCACCTCTCAATAATGAATGAGGGACTGGAGAGTTATCTCATTGGTTAAAAGCAGATGCAACTCTTGTAGATTACCTGGGCTCCATTTACAGCACATGAAGGGCAGCTCACAACTGTCTGCAATTCCAGCCTCAAGGGGAATCTGATGCCTTTTTCTGACCTCCTCCTCTACCTGCAACTGTGTAGGACACATATACATGTAGGAAAAAGACTTATACAATAAAATAAATGAATCTAAAATGGTTAAAATGATCCCGTTTAGGGAAACAATCTTTAGTATACACAATGTAGGTAATCTTTCAGGTGTATTGATATTCATATCAGATCGCTCCCCAGGAGTTTCAGATGCATCTTGTTCTAGCTGATTTGATGACAACTCAGCACAAGCTTGAGTCATTTGGGAAGCTCAGACATCAACCAGGAAAATGCCCCCACATTATTGGACTGTAGAAAAGCCTGTGGTGTATTTTCTTAATTGGTGGTTGATGCGGGAGTATACAGCTCAATGCGGGCAAGGGCCACTGGGCTGGTGGTTCTTGGTGCTATAAGAAAGCAGACTGAGCAAGCCTCAGCATCACTTTCTACCTCCAGGTTACTGACTTGAGTTCCTGCCCTGACTTCTCTGGGTGATGAATTATGAACTGAAACAAGTTGCTTCTGGACATGGTGTTTTCCCACATCAACAGACCTAACTAAGACACACCTCAGTCCCAGCCAGTTCCCCTTGTGCCTGGTGCTGTTGGCACCAACAGAAATTCTATCAGCTAGTGCTGAGTAAAGCCCAGACACTGTCCTTTGCAGTGAGGTACCTAGGAATTAGCCAGACAGAGAAGGGGTGGCCAAGTGGAGGTTAGAATTCAAGGTAGTGAGGGACACAACCCAAAGCAATGAAAACTAGAGCATGGAACTGGGAATCCCTGCAGGAACTGCCACCAGAAAGAAAGGGGAGGCCCGAAGAGAAATGCCTTAGGCCGTGGGAACAACACAGGCCAGGACTTCTTTTGTCTCTGGCTTACCATCTCCATAAGGTATACCCAGGCCTGAGCACAAATGCCTGGTGACTCCTGAGAGCATCTACCATGAGGAGATCTCAACTTCCTGTCCTACCTCTTATCCTCCCAGGGTTAGGTAACCTGCAGTCCCCTGCCCCCCAACCTCCTGAAGGTGCCTTTTATCTTTGCCACTTTAACTTACAGGTGTCTACAAACATAGCTTGAGAACTTGGTAGAACTCAGTCTACTGGGACACAGGGAAGGACAGGTAGATAGATGATAGGAAGCGGCTGTAGCGTGTGTCAGCTGCCCTTCTTATTGCACGAGACTCATGGGGGCAGGCCTCACCTGCCTGTCTTCTGCATGTGGCTCTCATGGTTTGGCTAAGGGAAGAAGCACACGCACCACTGCCGTAAATGCTGACATCAGTAGGTCCTTACGATGATGTGGCAGGTATCTATGGCGTGGTCAGCAGGTACACAAAATCCTTGGCACCCTGGGTGTGGAGACTCCAGGCGGCTCACTAATCTCTGGTGCTAAAGAACGCTGGCCCCACCCTCTCACATCCAGGATGTCAGGCCTCCTGTGCAATAGCACTTACAGGACCGGATTATGGCAGCTCAGCGCAGTCCAGGGCTTGCCATAGAGTGCTCATTAATAATGTTTATATATCCTTGAAGCTGTCCAGACTTGGTCGACAGAAGCACAAAGGTGCCTTTGTGGGGCTAGAACCTCTCTCTAGAGCTCAGGTCAGATGGGACTCAGGACATCAGGATGGGGAGGGGCAAAACAGAGTTTCTAATGGAGAGTGAGCTAGGCTGAGACCGGAAGATGAGGTGGCCAAGGCACCAAGGCCTTGTTGGAGATGAATCCCTGAACTACAGTGGGGACACTTCTCTGTAGTGGACACAGATTGGTGACTGCTTTATAACTAGAGCCTTCCCAGCTTCTGGAATAAAGGGTGAACCCCAGGGGTCAAGGCTGTACTCGGGAGCTTGGGATATAATTGGGTAGATAGATGGGTGATAGTTCCAGAAGGGAAATGATAAAGATGAGCCTCCGTGGGGTAAGCAGTGCGGTAAGAGAGCAGAGCTTCCTGGGGCACAGCGTGAAGCTCGTCAGGTAACTGCCATCTCTAATGCTCCCATGTGGTCCCTCCCTCCCAGAGCAGTCCAGGCGCAGGAGCCCATGAGCTGTCAGCTAGATCCTGACACATCAAATGTATCCCTGCTCGCATCTGGGGCAGGGTCACTGAGTGGCAAAGGGCCATGTGGTGGGCTCTTAGTGCGCAGCTTGTGCCCGGGGCACTGACGGGATTGTGTGTGGTTAAGAAGCTCAGTCCTTTTCTCAGCTTCTGTGGGAGAGAAGCCAGGTTCTAGATAAGATGGCTAAGGGAGCCAGGGGTGGCTGGGGAGTGAGTTCAGGAGTGGAGAAGGCGTAGGAGGTAGCCAGGTCCCTCCCTTCCTGGCTGCCTGTTCTCTACTCCTGTCCAAGAGTCATTTATACACTACTGTGGGTTCTGTGTATGCGGCCCCTTTGGATGGGGCAGACATTGCAGGGCATTGTGTCTTTTATCTGCAGTAGGTAAAGAATGATCACTGTATCTCCGCACGATCATCTCCATCCCCGTGATGGACATGGATTTGTCCAGGTGGGGTGTGGTCAGTGCCATTTGTGACCATAAAGGGCATTCTCCAAGGAGCCAGCACAGCCTCATTTTGTCATCCGTGTGACCTGCCTTGTCCATCGGGCAGGAGCCTGGAGATGAAGAGCCTGCTTTTGACTGTTACATTGTTCGTCCTGGTGACCATTCTACATGCCCAGGATGACCTGCCTTTCCTCTCAGAAGACAAGAACGTGAGGCCGAGAGCGATGGTGGAAGGGGTGGGGGGGGATGCTTTATTGTTGTCCAGTGCCTGAGGATTGGAGCCAGCACTCATAAGCTTTTTAGTTCTCGGAGTCTGGTCTCTAGCCCTGCACCTCAGCATGGAGTCTTGTCCGCTCTCTACTGTTCTGCCGTCTCTATTGCTGCTCTACCAGCAGGGTCACAGAGATGGAACCACAGAAGGGTCCCAGTTGCAGGGACTCCTAGAACCAGAATGTTTCTCAGGGGTGGACCTTCATGTACTGTCCTAGAACCAATGACTTTGGGGGCTTTGGGAACGGACCCATTCTGCCTAACTAGAACATGGGGTTTTGGTGAAACTTTAAGGAACACAGAACTGGGGAGTGGGGGCCAGACTATGTCAGGAGCTTCAGCCTGGGCTCTGAAACATTTTTCAGACTCCTCTCATGTGCTGGAGCCTGAGGAAGAACTGGCTTGGACTGGGATGCATTGGGTGTACACGGTATACAGGGCTCTGTTCGTTACAGGTCACAGGGATCTGGTACAGGAAAGTCATAGTGAATGACCGGAACATCACAGAGCGGAAGAGCCACGTGGAAGAATTCCCTTTTGTGGTGAGAGCCTTGGAAGAAGGAAACATGGAGGTTATGGTCTTTTTCATGTGAGTCTCACCACCGTGAGTCTTCCCAGCTTTGCCTTCCCCTCTCCTCTATGCTCTGAGTGTTGATGACAAGTAGGTTCATACTTTAAGGGGACACCATCATAGCAATCATTTGAAATCCTAACTGCAGTTGAAATGGGGTATACAGGTCACTGACTCATCACGCAAGCTGAGCAGAACACAGGTGTGGGCCCTGCAAGATGCTGGCTGCTGTGCCTCCTGTTTTCCAGGTTTAATGAGGAGTGCGGCCAGGTTGGATTCGTGCTGGAGAAAACAAAGAAGCCTGGTCAATACAGTGCCTGTGAGCTCGCCTGAATTTCTTCTCCCACTGCCGTGATAAAACTCTGTCCCAAAGGATGAGGGAAAGGGCGTTTATTTCAGCTCACTGTTCACGGTGCAGTCCATCCTAGTGGAGAATTCATGGCAGCTGGTGCTCGAAAGAGCTGGGTATACCACATCTACTGCCAGAAGAAGGGAATGAGAGATGCATGCGAGCAAGCACTACCATCTTCTAGACTTCGTGGTTTTTAACCTGTGGGTAGTGACCCCTTTGGGAGTGAATATCAGATATCTTGTTTATCAGATATTCATTATGATTCCCAACGGTAACAAAATTGCAGTAATGAGGAAGCAATGAAATAATTTTATGGTTGGGATTACCACACAATGAGGAACTGTCTTAAAGGGTTGCAACACTAGGAAAGCTGAGAACCCCTGCTCTACGCAGCTCCTTAGCACAGTCAGAACAACGTGTCTGGAACATTGCCGACCTGTTTTCTCTGTTTATCTATAGTTTGGGGTGCGAATCTCATGTACATCTATGAACTGCCAGTGATGGACCACTACATCTTCTACAGTGAATGCCGTTTGTTTGAGCAGAAACTCTATGTGGGAGAGCTCATAGGTAGGACCCTGGGTACCCCATGTCCTGTGTGATCTCCATCACCAGAAGCCAGAGGATGTGCAGTAGACTACAACTTGGCACTAGGGATTAGAATGCTTAGTATAGAAGACTTGACGTGTATCTAGGTTCTGGACACCAGGTGCTGCCTGTGCAGTGGGCAAGATCTGAGTGAGAAGGGTCAGGTTGATGGGGACTTTCAGGAAAAAGGGCAGATATAGCCCTCAGGGCCATAACAACTCAGGATGAAAGTTCCAAGCAGTGAACTATAGGCTGACTTTTCCTGTCCTGACTGTTTGTTCCCAAATAACCAGCAATCACTTCTCAAATAACTGACTCACAGACTTAATATAAATTATAAATGCTTGGCCAATAGCTCAGGCTTGTTATTAACTAGCTCTTACAACTAAACCCATTTCTATTAATCTATGTGCTGCCCCAAGGCTTGTGGCTTTTACCTCTACACTATTTTGTGTGTCCGACTAATTTTTCCATCTGGCTAAAAATTCCTCTGACCTTGCCCTTCCTCATCCTACCATTCTCAGTTTGACTTTCCCACCTAACTTTATCCTGTTCAGCTACTGGGCAGTCAGTTTATGAAATCAATCATAGTGACATATATTCACACAGCATACAGAAGAATTATGCAACTGCAGTAAACTGTCCAGTACCATTTTCTGGGGTCTCAGATTTCAAGGAGGTCAGTTCAAAGGGTTGGGTCCAAAAAGAGGCCTTTGGTTGGCAATGTCCCTCTGGACTTGAGAGACAGACTAGTATCCCTGTGACCAGGGTCCTTCCAGGTCAGGGGGCAATTCTGTGCAGCCATTCAGGATATATCCCATCCTTTTGTACCTCCCTGCAGGCTGTGTCCTTCTCCTCCATCCATACCTGTAACATGAGGGCTGGCTTGTTGGGGTATCTGTCCCACCCAGCACCCCAACAAGTCGGCAAACACCAAAGAAAATCAATCACAGAGTCTACATTAGGTTATAAACTGATTGGCCCATTAAGTCAGGCTACTTATTAGCTCTTATAACTTATATTACCCCATTATCATTATCTACATTAGCCACATGGCTCAGTACCTTTCTCAGCTGGGCAAGTTACATGCTGCCTCTTTGGTGATCTGCGCTGGAATGGTGGAGGGAGCTTCCTGTTTTCCCAGAATACTCCCAGTCTCTTTGCTCCACCCCTACTTCCTGTTTGGCTTTCCCCCTATACTGCCTGCCTGGCCCATCAGCGTTTTATTAAAATATGATTGACAGAATACAGACAATTCTCCCACACCACATACCCTACCTCCCTGTCTTCTCTAAGTGCTCCCTCCTCTTCTGCCTGCACCTGGCCCAGGGTGAAGCCCCTGGTGATGGGCAGTGATCCTGTCCTTGTACCACTGGCTCCCTGCAGCGCTGTGCAGTCACAACCCTGTGCTCATCTGATCTCTGCCCCCAGGGAAGGATCCCACAGAAAACCACGAGGCCTTAGAAGAGTTCAAGAAGTTCGCACAACGGAAAGGCTTCCCACCAGAAAACATCATTGTGCCTGAGCAGAGAGGTGAGCAGGTGACTTTAGAGATCACAGACTAGACCACAAGAGACCATACTTTCCTGTAGTTACAGAGAACTGTCCACACCTCTCCTGTTCTGTATCAACCATTGTTCTAGTGACCCTTGTGATTCTCCATGTCCCTGGTGACTCTTTCTATCGCCATTTGCCCTCCTCTTCACTCACAAGGACATCAGGGCCTTATTCCAGGTCTTGGTCATGAAGACATCTAAGCGGCGTGTGTGATGGGGTGTAGGTCTTTCTTAGCACACATCTTCAACCCTGGATTTTTCTTTGTTTCTACAGAAATGTGTGTCCCTAAAGACCACAATGGTAAGTAACACCTGGAAGAAACTTAGGACAGCTCAGACTCCATAGTACTTGAGTTTTGTGGTTCATCTTTTGGATCCTTAAACTGAGATATGAGAGACCCTTTGTATCCAGGTATGAGTGGCCTTTCAAGGATGTGACCACAAGCAAAATCCCAGGACACTTGGGAATCCATTCTTTTTCACAGACTCCTTCCCATGCCATGGGCTCCATGTGGTCTCATCTCCCACCCAACACACCCCCTACTTAGTGACCTACTTAGATGCTTAGTGACCTGCCTGGTAAACATGGCAGGCTGTGCTTGAGGATTATGAGTGTCTGACAACATCTCCACAGTATCTGTGGGAAGGGAGTTCTCTGATTGGCATCTGTTTCCTATGAGCTCCACTCTACTGCTCCTGTTGTAGAAGGAGGGGCCTCATCTCTGTTCCTCTTCCTGTCACAGCTGTCCCTTGGAACTGCAAATCTTGAGTCAACTCTGCACCAGTTAATAGCACTGCCTCTCCTGGAATACTCGTCTCCATGGACCAGACACACCCCTCAAGACCATCTCACTACCCATCGGACCACATTTCTGCTAGGACCCTTTGTCCCACCCTAAACCCAAGTAAAGCCTTAAGCAGTCATTTTGGACTCAGTGTGTGCTTTGGAGTCTCCTGTAAACTCCCAGAAGCTCTACGACAAGGTTGAGGAACTCTGGGACCCAAGGTCTGACTGCCTCAGTCCTGTAGGATATAGGACATCCTAGAAGTTCATATGATGGGACAACCCCTGCCCTCCCCCTCACGGCTTCAGAAGGTGTTTGACTTTGTGGAGACTTTGGGAAGCTACTGGGTTGGGTGCAGCTGGGGAGATGGTATTACAGATGCAAATGTGTGCAAGTTTCCACAGGGATCTTACTCTGGTAGAGACTTTGGGAAATCTATGAGAGACCCAGTGATGAGTGACCAGGCAAAAGGGGCGGGGGTTAAGAGTACTACTAAATCCTCCACCATCATCCCTCAAGCAAGACAGTACTATATACAGCTCCATTTGTCATCATTACTTCACTCACCATGTGGTTTGTCTAGTTTACAAGTTCTTGTGGACACTGCTTCACGGGGATCTGGGAGTCACAGTGAGGGAGGAGTGTTGTACCTTGAATGATAAATGCAGATCCAGACATTGCCATTTCAATAGGACCTAGATTCCTGGAGGGTGGGCACAGGTCACCATTTCCCCCTGAGAAGCTGTCAATTATTCCCAACTCAATAACTCGTCAGCTCCCACCCTCATGTATTGTTCTTTGCTTGTCTCTTTCTGCCTGGGTGTGATTCTTTTTGAGAACCAGAGGTCAACCTGAAAGGATGCAACCCCTTTTAAGTGCCTGGTAAAGCCTGAGGTGGTTGAACACATTGGAGGTGAGGCATTGTCAGCACCCTACAAAATTAATAAGCACAACACCCCACTCTGCAGAACCACAGAAAATATAGACGGGTCAAAGGGCTTCATACAACATTGTAAGAAAACAATACGGAAGAGGGTAATCTCATGGGGTCCCACCCCTAGACTAAAGAGAACTCCAGGCAACTAATGACAGCTGGAAAAGGGACAGTTAGTCTCTGTCTGGGATGAGTCCCCAGTTGTGTTATCCACTACAAACCAATCAGCTCCAAGTTCACATAAAACAAAGCAACACCAAATAGACTTAGCAGTTGTATTTATATCTTTATGTGTACACTCTCATATGTATTCGTAATAATAGCAATCAAACAAAAAGAGGCCCTCAGTTTGAGAGGGTTTGGGGTCATGGAAGGGGTTGGATGGAAGCAAAGGAAGGGGGAACTGATGTAATATTTTAAGGAATAAAAAAAAGAAATAGATAAAAATTTTCAACAATGTCATGAGAATGAAGGAATTATGAAACAAGCAAATAATCTGAGTTGCAAAGTCCAAATGTGTTTGTGAGAACAAATCTAGAGAAATCATTATAATTTTCATTTTGGTGGTCACTGGAGGTTTTCTTTGGCTAATTTTTGATATTAATTTTTACGAGCTGTTGACCCAGGTTCCTTGCGCACAGAATACATATACAGTTATGCCAACCAAATCTTTTCTGTGTTATCCTTTATGGACGTGTCCTCCATACACATTAAACTACTGAGCTGTTCTGCCCAGAGTTACTGTTGAGTTTTGAACAGAGTCAGCTGGAGACCCAGTATATATAGACTTTCTGTATATGTAGACATTTACTTTGCAGCACCAGGTTTTGGAGGGACTGTCTTTTCTCCAGTGTAGATTTTTTGCCATCTTTGTTAAAAATTGCAGGGTTGTTGTGTTGTGTGTCTGTTTTGTTCTACCAGTAGCATGATGATTTGCTGGTATGGAATAATTTGAAATCAGGGTTTTTAGTATAACCTTAAACTCAACCTAGTGATGCCGCTCAATTGCCCATGTTACTCAGGATTAATTTGGCTTTATGGAGTCTTTTGTACTTGCACATAAAGTTTAGAATTGCACGTTTTTATTTCTGTGAAGAAAGGTGTTGTAAGTTTATTGGGGACTCCATGGAATCTGTAGATTTCTTTAAAAATAGCGTCATTAACCTGGTACTGATTGTGCCAATACATACACAAGGAAGCTGTTAACATTCCAGTTTCTTCTTCCATGTTTTTCCTTGGATTTCAAAATAGTCATTGTTTCAGTTTTGATTCAACAGAAAATTTTATTGTTGAGGCATTTAACTCCCACTGACAACTACAGCTCAGTCTCAGTCTTAGAGAAAAGGGATTGGCCAGCTCCTATTCATGCTCTTAGCCCGGTGCTCTTGATGATTTTTCTACTGTGCGGGAACCCTGGAATTGACCTGTCCCAGGAATGATATCTCCCACTCAAGGTCTCTGTCCTAGACTGCCTGGATCTGCCTGCTTATGACAGAGAGGGACTAGCCATGACCAGGAATCTTCCTGATCTTCCAAAGTATCATGTTCCTCTAGGTGGTACTGGGACCCTACCTGAGTCCCCTCTGCATATTCTCCCATCTCATCTCCTGCCACGAACCCCTTTGTTTGGCTTCCCCTTTTTCTGTTCCCCCTCAAGGGTAGCATCTTCCACCCCCCAGCTTCTAGGCAAGTGGTTCATAACTGACTGGGCAAGAAACCTGCAAATTCATTATAGATAGCTATTAAAGTCTGGTTTCTGGAAATCTAAACCTTACAAGACTCCTATACAGCTAGAAGCATTGTGTGTGCATTGCCTCTGCTGCCAGAGTGAAATCCAGCAGTACTGACAGCTGCCTGGGCAGCGCAGAGTCTCATAGGAAAGCTGCCTGTTCTAAAGACTTTAGAAATAACATAAAGTCTGCCAAAATGTAGAATGGCATAGCATTCCTCTTGGCCTTTGTCTCTCCCTCCTGTCCCTCCCCAAGGGTGTGTGCTGTGCGGTGCTTTGCGGTGGACTCTGTCACACTGTGCTGTGCGCCTTGAGTCACCTCAGTGGACACTGCTGGATGGAAGACCCTGGGGAGACTAAACTGAGATCCTCATGAGGTCTTTTGTGTTTCTGCCTGGTTACTGAGTTTTCTTCATCTCATGGTAAGACATAAACTTTCTTTCCTTGTCTGAGAAACAGTTTTTTTTTAAATCAAAGATTGTTAGCTCATCAAAGGCCCATATTGTATTAATCACTCCCTTCCCCTTTTCACTGATTAGCCAGTTTTGTAAGATGATGAAGATATCCACCCACCAATGGGAAGAGACACAGTCATCACTTACACCCGGGACAAAAGACAGAGTTTGTTTTAATTACTTTTCTATTGCCATGACAAAAACACCATGACTGAGGAAACCTACAGAGGAAAGCATCTACAGGGCACTTACAGTTTCAGAAGGTCCATGACAGCCATGGTGTGGAGCATAGCAACAGGCAGGAAGGCCTGGTGCTGGGGAGTAGTGAGAACTCACATCTTGATCCACAAGTAGGCAGCAGAGAAAGAGAAAGATTCAGAATGTCATAGACTTTTGAAACCTCATAGCCCACGCCCAGTGACCCACTCCTCCCAAAACAGTTCCTCAATCTGGGAACAAAGTATTCAAACATGAAACTATGGGTGCCATTCTTTTTTTAACAAAGATTTTTTTTAATCAATTCTTTGGGAATTTAATATTGTGCACCCCAGTCCTACTCATTTTCCAGTCCCTCCATATTTGCACTTCACCCTTGTAGCATTCCGCCACAAAAAGAAAATTAAAAAAGAAATCATAATAAAAAACCAAAAACAAAAAACAAAAAAGAAATAATAAAAGAAAAAATTAAAATATCAGATAAAAACAAATAGAAAACAAAACCAAAAACAACAAAAAAGCAAAACAAAAACCAAACAAAACCCACTTCCCTCCTCTGTCTTTCTAGTGCCTCCATCTCCTCTTCATGCACCATAGTGTCATTGGGAACTGAGGTGTGTTACCAAGTAGACTCGTTGGTCCAAATAGCTTTACTTGAAAATAGTCACTGTATAATGAGTTGTTGGTCAGGTTCAAGGCCTCTGGTTTCTGGTGAATCATCAATACTGGACCCTTACAGAAACTCCTCTCAGACATCCTGCTGTTGCCCTGAGTCATGGAGATCCTGCAGCTATGATTCTGCAGGACCTGTCCCTTAATGTGCCCCAGCAGGTTATAGAAAAGTTAGATGTTGGTGTGGGCCAACTCAAACCTTGGTTGTGTGCCTTGATGGTAGCTGAGTTGGTCAGTCTAGGCCCCTGGAACCACCCCCTCAGGCAAAGGGTGGAGCCAGCTTTCCAACACCCTTTGTGAGGGGTAGCACCAGCTTTTCCAAGTGTGGTGTTGGGGGAAGGTCTCTTATAAGGGGAGGGGTTAGCCCTCTTGTTTTAGTGGCCATTGCGGCCATCTCTCCCAGGGCTAATTAGCGTAGGGTCCAGCTCAGCATGACCCTAGGACTACAACACACATAGTTTCCATGTGTCTCTGTGTTAACACATGCAACAGACATCAACACAGACCTCAGCTGCAACAGGAACATGGACCCAGACATGACCCTCAGCAGAAGTTTAGGCCTAATTGGCTCCATGGTCCCAGACAGTAGCACAGGTCAGTCAGGTCTTTATGGGCCCTGGACTCCAACATGGCCTCAGGTGACAGTCAAGACCCCATCACATGGCCCTTGATGTTAACAGGAACCTGTGGAGGCCCAAAAATGTGAGCCTATTTCCACCTTGATCAAATGAAAGAGAGTTGGAACTCACTCCTATTCCTTCAAGGTTATTGTCTGTTTCTACCTCAAACAAAGGTCCCACCTAGATTTAGATTTAGATCAGAGAGTTCTCTGAGGTTACTGTCAACAGATGTGGCTGTTATCCAGACCTTGCATTTCAGGAATAGAGAAGTAGATATGTTTCTACCTGAAACAAAAGTGTAACAATCCAACTAAGGATTCCACCTAGGGAGAGGTTTGCCTACAAAATGTTTTGGTCTGGGGTATGAGTGTGATTTGTTTTGTTCTAGCAACAAAGTGTTTTCCTTGGAATGTAGCCTACAACCTTCAATTGGTATGTTGATTTCTTTGTATCATGTTAATGCAGTTTTTTTTTTAAATCTTATTCCTACCTTTTGGGTCAAGGGTATTTTAAGCTATTGGAAATTAAACATGGGCAATTTCAGTACTCACTGGAGCTCCCTTCTGATCTATCCTATGTTTCTGTTTTATTATTTTCACTCATGTCTTCATCTTCTTTTCTATTTTTCTGATCCCCATACCCTGGTAAGTGGTATTTTTGTTGAAGCTGATCTCTGACAGTGTAGGAGGAGGCCACTTCTTCATCTTGCTCACCCAGAACCAAAATAATCACATAGAAATTGTATTAATTAAAACACATTGGCCCATTAGCTCTAGCTTCTTATTGGCTAACTCTTATATTAATTTAACCCATTTCTATTAATTTGCATAATATTATTATGCAAATATAATATAAATTATTATATAAATTTAATATAAATATAATAAATATATTTTATTTATATATAAATTTAATATAAATATATATAAATATAAATTTGCATGGCAGTGGCTTACTGGCAAAGATTCGGCATGTCTGACTCTGGCGCCTCCATGGCATCTCTCTGACTCTGCCTTCTTTCTCCCAGCATTCAGTTCTATCTTCTCCACTTACCTAAGTTCTGCCCTATCAACAGGTCAAGGCAGTTTCTTTATTCATTAATGGTAACCACAGCACACAGAGGGGACTCCCACATCACTTCCCCTTTTCTGTTTAAATAAGAAAGAAGGCTTTAACTTTAACAAAGTAAAATTACATATAAAAAACAGTTACCAAGCAAGAATTACAGTTACAATATTTATATCTACTTTATCTTTTATCATAACTAAGGAAAACTATAACTATAACCATAAATTCTTCAACTCCATCAAAGACTTCAGAAGGATATAATATTACCTAAGTAAACAGGAAGTACATTGTAAGCAACTTCCAAAACTCTGGGTCTATATAGTGAGTTCCAGGCCAGCTAAGGCTACACAATGAGACCCTGCCCAAAAGAACAACAAAACTCTTAGATTACAATAATCAAGCTCTTTCAACTCCTGAGAATAAATCTCGTGAGCCACTAGGATAGCCAAGAAACAAGATGCAGGTTTCTACTTGACTCTGAAAAGCTTCCCCCTTCCAGTTATCACTTCCCACTCCACCCAGCCCCCAACTTGATCCTTCAGGCTCCTAGCTCTACTTGCCCCAATCCACACTAGAGATCTTTTCTCTTTTTCCTTCTCAGGGAGCCCCATGTGTACCAGATGCAAATAATCACATGGACACTGTATTAAATGAATCACTGCTTGGCCTACTAGCTCTAGCTTCTTATTGATTAGCTCTTACATCCTAAACTAGCCCATCTCCATTAATCTGTGTATCTCCACCTGGCTGTGGTTTACCAGGTGAAGTTCCATCCATCCCCAGTGTTTGTCTCTGGAGGGGCTTCATGGTGTCTCACTGACTCCGCCTACTCTCTCTCTCTCTATATATATATCTCTTTTAGTCTGGTTATATTCTGTTAAGCTGAAAGCAGCTTCTTTATTAACCAATAAAAGCAACACATATATAGAAGGACTTCCCACACTACACTGCCAGTGGCCCCACAACCTGCCCCAGTCATACAGCTGTCGCCCACATTCAGTTTGGTCTTATGCTGGTTCCTTCTCCATCAGACTTCAGTTGATGAATTCCCATTAGTTCAGGTAAACTGTTTCAGTGGGTGTCCCCATCAAGGTCTTGATCTCTTTGCTCATATTCTCACTCCTCCCACTCTTCAACTGAACTTTGGGAACTCAGCCCAGTGCTCCACTGTAGGTCTCTGCCTTTGTTTCCATCCGTTATTGAATGAAGTTTCTATGGTGACATTTGAGATATTCATCAGTCTGACTACAGGGCAAGGCTAGTTTTGGCCTCCTCTAAACGATTGCTTAGGGTCTTAGCTGGGGTCATCCTTGTGGATTCCTGGGAATTTCTCTAGTGCCAGGTTTCTTGCTAGCCCCACAATGGCTCCCTCAATCAAAATCTTTTTCCTTGCTCTCCATCCCTGTTCTTCTTCCATCTTGTCTATCCTATTCCCTCAAGTTTACCTCCCCTTTCCAGTTCTCTCCTCCTCCTTTTCTGCCTTCCCTTCTCCCCCTACCCTCCATGGTCCAAATTTTCTCAGGCGATCTTGTCTATTCCCCTTCCCAGGGAGATTTATATATGATTTTCTTAAGGTTCATCTTACTACTTAGCTTCTCTAGGGTCATAGACTATAGAGGCTTGTTATCCTTTGTTTTACAACTAGTATCCACTTATGCATGTGTACATTTCATGTTTGTCTATCTGGGTCTGGATTACCTCATTTAGTATGGCTTTTTTCTAGTTCTATCCACCATTTGCATGCAAATTTCAAGATGTCATTGTTTTTTATCGTTGAGTAGTACTCCATTGTGTACATGTACCATGTTTTCTTTATCCATTCTTTGATTGAGGGGCATCTAGGTTGTTTCCAGGTTCTGGCTTTTACAAATAATGCAATTTTTCTGCTGAGCATGCTTTATTGCATATCTGTAAGCTTTTCTGTTTGCATAAGCAAAACCTTAAGCTGCCACACAGCTTAGCTAATGGTGTGCTGGCAGCTCAAGTCCACAGGCCTTGGCCAAGGGATGCATCTCTGTACTGTGGCCCTGCATGAGATATTGTGGGACTAGAAAGGCACATTTAGCTCCGTTCTTGTGTATCTGGAATCCTTCTTCTTCTTCTTCTTCTTCTTCTTCTTCTTCTTCTTCTTCTTCTTCTTCTTCTTCTTCTTCTTCTTCTTCTTCTT